ACGATAGAAGGAGCTACATAGCAGTTACTTGGATGTAGAAGAAGTGAGGTGCTCCGCCTTTCGCGAAGAAAGGTGCGCTGTTCTGAGCAGGACTTAAAATCGCCCCGCACCTCAGGCGCTCTGCCCACTGTTTAGTTGGTGATTTGGACGAGCTGTATTGCCAGCAGCGCCACAACTGGAGCAAGTCGATTGGGGCTTAACTCGGCCGTTGACCGTTCCTTGAACGAAGATCAACGGCCAAACAGTGTGGTCCCCTTTCTTTCGCCATTGGCGAACCATTGAGCACCTCCATGTCTCTCCCTTGTATATCCTCTAGAAACTATCGTAATCGCTGCCTCTAACTTCATACTTCTCAAAAATAGTAGAATTTTGAAAAGCTTGGAATAAGAAGACCCTAAATCAGGCACCTACCTCTTCTCCCGGTATCCTTACATTCTTTGTAGATGGATTATACGAGAATTTCATTGAGAGCTGTGCACTAGTGAGTGCCGAACATTCGATGACGTTGTCAAGGCCCTGAAACAGTAAAAGATGTAGGGATTTTAAAGAGCAGTGTCATTCACCCCTCACTGTATCTTTAAAATCAAGTATCTTTGCAGTTGCAACTCGTACCGTTGCGATTTAGCATCAAGTCCAATGGAATGTACTATATTGCGTCCCACATCGCACAACGCGCGCTGCGACTCGTCCGCAGATCCGTCTGAGTCTCTGCCTTCTCGCCGCGCCACGGGCTTCTTGTCGGGTGCCCGGATTTGAAAGCAAGTTCCGGGATAAGTGGTGTGCGGGAGCGCTCAATAATGAAGTGGGGGGAGGTGCGGAGAGGGACGGTCAAAAACACTGAAATGAAGGGCTTAAATTTTCTGTAAGGCCGGGTGCGATACGACGGAGATTCAGAGCGAGCAGAGAAGATATGACACACGAGAGAGCACGCCGTACGAGAGGGTACAGAGAAGCTGCTGTCGCGGTCGCCTGCCCCCCCCCCTTGAGCGCCACTATTCAGGAACATTAGTAAGTTTCTAGTGTCCTTACCGGAGTCGATAAGGCATCGGTGACGTTAACAAGCACCTCTGTTCTACTTGCTCTTAGGATTACTTCGTGCTCCCAACCCGGGCTTGCTTTTATGGGCTACCAAAATTATGGCCTGAACTGTGCAACACCCGCGGCGTCAACACTGCCGAAGCTTTTTTCTACCTTCCCGCTGCACAGTAGTTCCCATAATATAGAAAGAGATCTCAAAGGAGGGTTCCATGGTAATGTCGGAGGTCGTCGGAAGAAAAATATACCTAGTCAAAAAGCAGGCGAGCCTCTCAAGAGTGTAGGACGGTGCGCGTTCTCAGCGGAGGGTTGACCCCACTGGCCTAACAGGGTCGTACGTGGGCCGCTGCGCCTCTGCACGCCTGCCATACTAGAGAGCGTTATGGTTGAAGAGGG